GATGAAAAGCAGATCTCTTCTGTTTATGTAGCCTGTTGGAAAGAAATCCGATCTAAATGCAAAAAAGCTTGTGGGGGTGGGGGGTATATTTCACAATTATATGACTTAGCACAAAGAAGAGGGAAGTTCTTAATTGTTAGATCTAAAGGGAGAAATATTGGTTAACTTAGGAAGATTAAAGCTTGCTATGTTTGTCACAGTCCTTAAATAGGAAACTCTTGCACAGCACAATACCAGACTAATTCTCCCCTCCCCCTGTCATGTGAGCCACAGAGCTGCATCCCAGAATGCTGTGGTTAAAGAAACATCTGGGGCTAGTACTTAAGACCTTGCAATACTATTTTCCAGTAAGTCAGCAACTCTCAATCTGCTTTTTTTTAATAAGATCAAAACTGCTGAACAATGTACTGCATGGTTGATGCAAGGAACCTATACCTGCACATTGGGCCAATGAAGGAATAAAGAAAATATATCAAAAGATTTACAGACATTCTTCCCTAACTTAAGCTGTTTCTTTTCAGGACAGTGCTTAATCATATATCTAAGTTCTATTGAAGTAAATAGAAGTTGAGTGTTGAAGTGCCCTCCTGAATAGGGAACTTGAACTATTTTTTGAGGTTGTCTAGGGTGCAAGGCAGAGTTTGGACCATTCTGTTTACTATTCAGCACTACAAAATATAGTAACTTTTGCAAGCAGGTATCTTTTTATACTGTCATTCCAAAATATTGTATAATTTTAAAATGAATAGCATAATACAGAAAGCAGATACACAGCTAAATAATGCTAAGATACTTTGGTTCAGTTTACAGTACATGTCCATTATTTTGCACATTATATAAACTGATTTCTCTTAGCATTGGCTTATTAAATATGTGAAAGACCTCATAAGTGACTGAAGACCTGGTTGTTTCAGAAACATTTTGCATTGTCCATTTAAATTGTTTTAGCTGTATATTTATCCAAGCCTCATTTTAAGAGCTGCTTATTTCTAAAATGTCCCAGGAAAAATGGAAGATGATATCAAGAGGTCCTGCTATTTCTTTCAAATAAAATTATTTGACATGGTATGGTGTGAACACTCCAACTGCACATATACTACAAATGAGTTGAAAGGAGATCATTTTATGATGTGATAAAAGATGTCTTCCCCCCCCCCCATGAGGACATCCTTGCTCCATTGGTGCTTATAGATTTGTATAATAAAGCTCTGTGGTTTTGACAGGCTGCTGTATCACAGTAGATGTAAAAGGTAAAATCTGAAACCAATAGGTAAAGATTCTGAAGACAATTTAATCTTATACTGATTTTTTTCAAAAGTTTAAGTGGAAAACTGGTCTTGTTTTGATATTGGGAGACAGTTTTTCAAATATATTTCAAATGAGAAATCAAACTTCTTAGCACATTGTTTAACATGACTTTATAACTAAGATAAGCTGTTGGTTTGTTGAACCTATTCTTTTCACTCCAGAGTCTAAAGTTCCAATGGCAATTATTTTACTTTAACTTCTGTACCTAGCAGATGGGGAAGTGATCAGCTGTATGAGCTGACAAATTCAATTTGTCATAGTATTTTAGTGTACAGCTACAGTACGGCTAGTTTGTATATGTATTGTTTCAGATTTAAAATTTCCCAGTGCTTTGTTAAAAAATAAAATACCCCGACATTGTTTGAATGAGGCCTTCTCGGCCCAAAGCATTCCTTTGTTTGCTGAGAATGCATGTATGGGGCTATAGGGTTTTTCTTGTGGTATACAGTAGAACCTCAAAGATACAAACACCAGATTTACAGACTCACCAGGCTACTGGACACCATGTGAAACCAGAAGTAACCAATCAGGAAGCAGCAGAGCAAAAAAAAAAAAGTAAATACTCTACTGTGTCTGTATTGCATCTTCAAGATAGGCACCACTAGGCTGCCAGCCTGAGGCAGTGGTGTAGCAGTGGGGTCTGCATTGCTTTCACTGCTGCCCCTGCCAGGAAGAGGACACACTATTTTACCCCTTGATCCTCCTCTCTCTTCCCCCAGTGGATAAGCTGTTTTCTCTCCTCCCCCACCCCCCCAGCAAGAGGACAAGCTTGCAAACTTATACTAGGCTGAGTAGGGAGCTCAGCTGCTGCCGAAACTTGGCCTGGAGTGTCAGCTGCTGGATCAGGGTTATGAACATTCCAGAGTTACAGACAACCTCCATTCCCACAGTGTCTGTAACACCTGAGGTTCCACTGTAGTTAAATATTTGTTACCTTGTCAAACACACACACCCTTCCTTTTAGTGCAGGGGTTCTCAAACTAGGGGTTGGGACCCCTCAGAGGGTCATAAGGTTATTACATGGGGGGGCACAAGCTGTCAGCCTCCACCCCACACCCTGCTTTTTCTCCAGCATTTACAATGGTGTTAAATATATAAAAAGGTGTTTTTAATTTATAAGGGAGGGTCGCACTCATAGGCTTGCTATGTGAAAGGGGTCACCAGTACAAAAGTTTGAGAACCACTGTTTTAGTGCATTAACATACTTACTGAGTACATCTTTGAATGTTAACAAAAGTGCATAGTTCAAATCTGTCAGCATGTATCTCACAAGGTGCTCATGGGCTTAAAACTGGATGGAATCCATTGAATAGTAGTGTCAGGTGTGGTCACGTGTCCTGTACCACTTCATGCTTCCACACAAAGGCATGAAAGATAGAGTGCCTGCCTTCCTTCTCCACTTTTCTCTGACCATCCATGGCAGTGAAGTGGAACCCAGAGGCGTTGGACCTGCTAGTGTTTGCTAACCTTTGTTTTTCAATGATCTGTTTGAAGATTGTCATTAAAACTGACAGTCAAATTAGACTGTCAGAAACTAAACTAGTTCAACAACTCCCTTGTACTTCAGGATCACATATCTTGCACCAAACACCATGCCTCATGGCAGACCATGCTGTCCAGATTCAGACCCTGTCCATCCTGCTCACAAATGGCCATGGTCACTGCCTGATCTGACTGAGGGAAAGCCCCTTCCCAAACAGATGATTGGTCATTCCTTTTCCTCAAGAATACAGAATTCCAGGGACACTTATCTCAAACTGCATCAATTAGCACAGTCTGAGGATTGCTCTGTTCCTGAGGAAGCAGTAACTGCCGAACAGGAGCCAAAAAAAGGTCATCCTTTGCTAGAGCCTCTCAAGCAGACAATCCACACCACTCTGGCAAGAGGAAAGGCATAAAAAAGGATAGTGAAAACAAAAATAGCAGTAACCTTTTCATTGACCCTGGTACTGACAGACCTGGAGCTCCTGCCCCCAACTCTGAAATTCATCATATTGAGGTTAGGCCAGATGGAGCAGAAGTGCAGCTCTAAAAATCACTTGGGCTTCTCACAAGGAGGGTCCAAAATAAATCCTCCACAAAAAAACCTACAAGCCTATTGCTTCAAGGGCATGCTATGCTAGTGGTCAAGCTTGCATAAGGAAGGACTGGGCAGTGCCAACAATGCCATCTGCCTTACAAGCAGCAGTGCAGAGGATTGAACCCATCACTGTCCTGAGCTACATACTGATGTCCCACCTAATACCTCATCCACATCAAGACCACTGTCGGCACCAGTTCCCTTTGCACGGAGGTCACACGGTGCTACGACATCAGCATTTGACAAAATACTCCTACTCACCTTCACTGAGTTATTTGTTCTTGCCAGCATTGATCAGGGTCCAGGGACCCATTTCCCCTGCCATTGGGAGAGGATCCTTTTTCAGAGATCCATCACAAGCAAAACATGAGTGGAAGCAGATTAGTTAACCTCAACACAATCAGTGCCCATACATGTGGCCTTTACCATTGCCAGCATTGTACCTTCATGTTTCTCAAAGAAGTTTCCCCTCACCCATCACAAAAGAGGTAACAACATAGGGCTTGAAGGGACATCCTGGGACAGAGTCCAGTCCCCTGCTGTTACAGGCAGCCCTATCATATAATCCCATTTATAAATTTATTAAGATTAACCTCACTAGTTTTAAGATTTTTTTGCCCTGCTACTTCTATTGAATGGCTGTTCCAAAACCTCACTCCTCTTCTGATTAGCAACCTTCTGACTTTTTCAGCCTAAATCTCACTCACTGTTTGCAGTTTTAGTCAGACCTAGAAGCAGGTAGCAGTCTCAGAACAGGCCAAAGTGGCACCAGAGGAACCTGGCAATCCCTTTCCCCACTGAGAGAGTCATCTTTGCCAGATGAGGCAGCAATAGGAACCCCAACACTGTCATAAGACTGTTACAGAACATTCCAAGACCTTTTAATCCTAGGACATCAACCTGTGATCCAGGAAAAGTCCCATAAGTCACTCCAACTCTCTCACTGGGATAACTTTCCAGCCGAAGTAGAGCCACTTACATGGTAACATTTCTTCTACATCACTGCCCCAGGAAGTTAAAAAAGGCGTATATTTAATAGTAAGGAATGTAAAGGTACAATTCTTTTTAGAAAGTGACTTACTGACAGCATGAGGTTCTATTCTACTGTATTGAATTAACATCTATAACAAGTGGGTTCCATTTTTTAGTATAGATGATTTTGTAACTACCAGCACTGGAAGTTTATCCTGGGATTTGGCAGTCAAGCAGGGTTACCAGTAATAAAAGGTTCCACACTGCAAGCTATGCTCTCAGGAACAGATGTCCCTGTGTTTGGGGATGTAACTGACTGAAATTTAAGGAAGAAGTTCTGTTATTGCCCATGTCGATCTAAAAGAGAAAGAGCAGGATTCATTAGCTCTACAAGGATAACAGGAGTAAAAACTTATTTGTTGCTTATTTAAGCAGATGAAGCCCTGCTTCTGCACAAGGAGCAGCTCTGTGAACTGAGGGGATGCTTCAGTTGCATACAAGTCAGTTTTCAGCCATACATCAAGTTCCTAGCAACGACATGTGTCTCATTAGCTCTATGGCGCAAATGCTGCTTTAAGTAACCTGTTGGCAAAATTTAGCAAGGCTTTAGAAGAGCAGATGAAGGGAAAACACACAGACATTAAGTATGCAGGAGGTTTATTTCCTACCTTAAAATCTACAGTAGTTCTAGTGACATTAGGTACTTAATAGCAGAAAATCTAAAGGTTTATATAGAATTAAAAAAAAAAATCAGATGAAGTACCACTCAGATCAAAAGGAATGTAAGGAGACTGAAGTTCTTTAATAGTTAGAATTATGTTATGAAATGGGTTTTAGTGAACCAAAAATGGAATGCTAATTTCATAAAAATATACACATACATATAAAATTTGTTCCTTGCATTTGAATTACAGAAAAAAACCCAGAAGTAGTGCTTCTAGAACTTTCAAGTTTCTCTGAATTACATTTAAAGTATTTATCATTTGATTTGTTAACTTTGCAAATTACACATTTATATTAAATGAACATTTTTAGCTGACATCTTTCTAAACAGAAGATGCCACTAACTCAGAAACAAGTCACTCACTGAATGGAAGCCTCCCCCACTCCCAAGTAAAGCAGCAGAATGTTACATTTTAATAATATTAGAGTGGAACCCACTTATATTTGAGCTATTACTCCTTTTCTTATTTTTAGAGTAAGTTTGTCAGAACTTTATTGGCAAAAAAAAAATCTAACAGTCAACAGCAAGATGAACTGGGTTTGGGCTTCCGGTGAAGATTTATTGTATCTGTCTGAATCAAGTGATCTGATCTATCTTCAGTAGCAAGAACTCTTCGAACGGCTTCCTCAAAGGCTGCTGCAACATTAGTGGCATCTTTTGCACTAGTCTCGAAATAGGGATGGTTGCCGTTGTTCCTGCACCAGGCCTGGGCTTCTTCTGTAGACACTTGCCTTTCATTTATGTCAATTTTGTTACCCAATATCACAAAAGGAAAACTTTCAGGCTCTTTCACATCTGCATAGTAAATGAATTCTTTTTTCCAGTTTCCCAAGTTTTGGAAGCTTTGAGAGTCATCTACACTGAAAGTTAGAAGGCAACAGTCAGAACCTCTATAGAAAGGAGTCCGTAAGCTCCTGAACCGTTCTTGACCTGCCGTGTCCCATATCTGCATTGTAACGAAGTGTCCATCCACTTCCAAATCTTTATTTAAGAACTCCACGCCTATTGTGTGGAACAATTGTGTATCAAACTTGTTAGTGACATATCTGTTCATAAGTGAACTCTTCCCGACTCCACCATCACCTAAGAGTATTACTTTAAGTAGAGATGATTTTGTTGCCATTGTTATGGAAATAGATCCTCCTGATTTCTGAGTCCTGTAACATAAGAGAGACCCTGTTAAGAACAAACATTTTCCCCTTGTGATAAAGACAACTTATTATTTTGTTAAATATTGAATTGTTTACATACTCATGCACTACCCATAAAGTATTAAGCCCAAGTCACTGCTCACTAAACCTTACATGCAAAAAAAAAAAAAAGGAATTGACTAAATATGTTTGTAATTTTTAAAAGTGTCTAAAAGCACACTTCCCACTGGATAAGAACATAAGAATGGCCAATCTGGGTCAGACCAAAGGTCCATCAAGCCCTGTATCCTGTCTTCCGACAGTGCCCAATGCTAGGTGCCCCAGAGGGAATGAACGGAACAGATAATCAAATGATCCATCCCTTCACCCATTCACAGCTTCTAGCAAACACAGGTTAGGGATACCATCCCTGATCATACTGGCTAATAGCTATTGATGGATCTATCCTCCATGAACGTATCTAGTTCTTTTTTTTAAATCTCAAATGGGGTTTGTGACAGATGGGGCAATTTCCTGGACAAACTTAGTTCAATAAAGTTAAACCTTACTGAATTAAATTAAAATATTTTAGGAGCTCATTATATTAGAAATGCAAATGTGTGTTATTGTGGGACTGTATGTAACTTGTCTAGGAGACTTGACTAATGTAAACCTTGGGAAGTGTTATGAATTTCAACTGACTCTTGTAAACAACAAGGTAAGAATAAACTGTTGAGTAGCTTCCCTAGGAAATATTTGGGAGGAGGGAAATGCAAATGCCCACCCACCCACCTTTGGACCTGATCTTTATAGGAGGCTTGCCCTAGGGAGAGGACCGTTGTCTGCAAATTACCTATTCCCAGGATCAAAAGGGCCAAACAGCATAAAGAAGTAACTCAGATTCATGGTGTTCTTGTTCTGAGCAAAAGGAGTTATGAACTTGAACACATGTGGGGCTTGAAGGACTGTTCACCTGGCTGAGCCCTTGTTGGACTTGGGGTGATCTCCAGTAAGGTTATTAGCACGTTTAGGTTCTTTTATTGTTTTGATATGTTTTCTCTGTAATGCTTTTACTTTCAGAATAAGAAGTGGGCATGGGCTTGCCACAGGTAACTTAACTGTGACAACTGCACCGTTTACCATCTCTGAGGAGAAAAAAAGGCAGGCCTACTTACACATTCTGCCTTTGCTGAGGAATTCACAGTTTAGATAGGGAGCTGTGCAGCCTGGAAATACCCTTGTAAGGAGGGAGAGAGAGATGCATGTCTACACTCAAGAGAGATGATGGCTAGGGAGCCAGAAGTCTAAGAGTGGGTGCCCTCACTGGACCATAGAGAATATAGGTGCCATTGCTCTGAACTTTGACAAGGTTATAAAGTGTTTCTTCTTCAAACTATAGTCTGTGTAGTTGTATGAATTAACACACTGATTAGTCACTTCTAGAGACTGGGTTTGAACTCCTCCTTGTTTCACTTACTGGATATTTTTGAACATCTTTTCCCAGGAAATAGTGGAAGCCTGTCCACTTTACAAAACCACCAAAGTTAGTCTGCAAGACAGGTGTCAAGTTGGTCTAGATAAAGACCATAATACACAATAAGTCAATTTACATTCATTGAAAACCCTGAGGGGGAAGATAGAGGTAAAGCCAGGCATTTGGAGAGTTCCTGCCTTAATTATTATCTAGCCACTTTTAGTCCCTCATTCCAGTTAGCACCAAAATTCATTTATCTTACATTAATTTGGCAAGAACAGTGGAAGCTTCCTTGTAGAAACAAGAAATATAAATACCAAACATATCTATTTTATTATTTTAAACTGCAGCAAAATGTGAACCACCAGAACAGTTTTCTTAGATCATTCTCATTCAATACTTTACCCTCAGTGTTTGCACTTTGTGTAGAGACTGAAGTTTACTCCTCAGGGAAATCTGCACCACTGCACATGTGCAGAATTTATGACTGAATTTATGTGCACAAAAAATTATTTTCTGACAAGGAAGCAAAGGCGAGTGGTCATGCAACCCTCCACAGCAGTATGTTTCGGGTGCCCAGGGCAGCTGGCAGAGAGGTAAATCACTGTGGGGCAGGAGGCAGGTCTGGAGAAGACCTGGCTGGTAGCTCCTACCGTGTGCTGAACTCAGCTGCTAGTCCTGGCTTGGCAAGACAGGACTTCCTCTTCCCCTGCATGGCATCTGGGGCTTGGTCAGACCTACCCCCAGATTTCTCCCCCAGCTGCAGGAAGCTCTGCAAACTCCTCTCCCCACTCGCCTTCCTGCCCTCATCAATCCTTAGCTGCAGGGGGAGGGATCTCTTTACAGGGAGCTGCTCCCCCATCTGCCCAACCCCCATGCATCCAGACCCACTCATACCCAGACCCTCCTGCCAAGCCAAACCCCCCTGCACTCAGAACCCCCCTGAGCCCCACTCCCCCTGCACCACCCCAACAAGCCACCCACACCCAGATCCCCATCCCACCAATCCCCAAACAGCAGCACCTGGATCCCAGGCCCACTCCCCCAGCATCTGGACCCCTCCCACTGAGCCCCAACCATCTTCCCCTGGACCCCCGCAGAGTCCCATTACCATTGCACTCAGAACCCCCACAACAATCCTCTGTGCATCCAGATCCCCTCCATTCCCGGATCCCTCACTGAGCCGCTCATGCCCAGATTGCCCCACATAGAACCCTCTCAAACCACACCTGAATCCCCCCACACTAAGCCTCTGCACACTCGGATCCTGCCTTGTTGAGCCTGCCTACCCACAGGGAGGGACAGGGCCCTGGGGTGTTTCTGGGGCAGGCCTGGTTCTTGCACTGTGTTAGGGTTGGGTGCAGCCTCACTGCTGAGTCTGTGTCCTGGGAGGGAGCTGCAGAGTGGTCCCCCATCTATGTCCAGCCAGTGGCCTGTGCTCCCCAATGTCCAGCTGGAGCCTCCACATTTATTTGACAAATAAAATTTGCAGATTTTGCAGAATATTAAAATACTGTGCACAGAATTTTTAATTTTTGGCACAGAATGCTCTCAGGAGTAGAAGTTCATTAAAAACAGTTATGGGTCTACCTTTTTCTATGTGAGCCAATTCACCCTGCTGCAGAAACATCTTTAGCCACAACAGCTGCAAATGTGTGAGCTCTACCAGACCTTATTCTGCCCACTACAAAACCTTGCTGGAACCATTTACAATGTTTGTCTTACACTTCTTGTACTCAACATATTTAACTGAATTCAAAGTATTGAGGCCACGTCTACATTCAGAATTTTAGCGAGATCCTGCGCTGTTGGCTCAGCACTGGTGCTAGCAAGAATCGGAGTGCTGGTATAGATTGGCTGCCAGGATGTTTTCCTCAGTGTGATCCAGACTTGTAAAAAAGCTTCCAGAAGTGTTATAATTATCAATTTAAACACAAAAGAAGTCATAGAAATATTTCTAAAAGCCCACTCCACACTTGAGTTTTAATTCGACATAGCTACAGAACTCAAGTGTGAAAAATTCCCACCTCTGAGCACAATAGCCATGCGGACTTAATCCAGCATAGATTCAGCTAAATTAATGGAAGAATGCTTCCATCAACCTAGATACCAGCAAAGATGTAGTGCTTGGGAAGGCTGGGATCCTACAGCAACAGAAAAGCCACTTCCATTGCTGTAGACTGTATCTACAATATGGGGTTATGCCAGCATACCTACCCCACCATGGCTATGCCATTTTAGTCCCCATAGTGTAGACATGGCCTAAGGTTCCTATATCAGCCTACCCACTATCCCCATAAATGTATGACAATTAGGAAAGGTCAAACTAGTTCAGCAAAATAAGCACCTGTCTACAAGGTCAGAGTTGGAAAGGCATTAGGATATTCTCCACTCAATTGCTGGAGGTTTTTCCCTTTAGACGGCCCACTTGGCCTTTCTTTCTCCCTAAAAATTACTAAGGACATGAAGTATGCAGTGTAGTTGTAGCCATGTCGGCAGGGCCGGTGCAACATATTAGGTGACCTAGGCAGTCGCCTAGGGCGCTAGCATTTGGACGGTGACCGGATCTTCAGCCGCCCCAGTCATCATTGGCATTTAGATGGAGGGAGCTGGGTCAGGGGGGCACAGGGAGGGCCGCCTGCAGCAAGTAAGTGGGGGGGCGGCA